ACGATCTTATTTGTCAACATAGGAGTTGTGTCTACTCTATAATATTTGAAACCATCCCAGTACTCTATGCAACATCATCCATGCCTTGCTAAATCAAATTTGGACCCAACAAATGTGACTTACCATATTCACTAACCTCATAGAGCATGACACCAACATCCACATCAAGCCTAAAGCGACAAGATCTGTATCTCTAGTTAGTAATCTACTGTCATGCAAGTACTCGGTTAAAAGCAACTGATTATGAGTCACTCATTGTAGGATACCTATCCAGCTAGTATTGGGACTGGATATCCATACTCTCTTATGCATTTATTTCGCTCGAACACGTATAATCACCACAACCTTGGTACTACAATGGAACACATCCATAATTCTTACATAAAGTATTTTGAAACATATTTGAACACTATCACATAACGCTTTTATGTACGGCCGCGCTGGAACATATCCATACGCCTCCATAAAATACTCTCATATACAGCGGCGCCAGAACATATTCATATACTTCTACGTGAATATTCCACAAGTTGTTATTTTTGTCACACATAAAAATGCAGACACCTATGTCATTTCACTATCTACTAAATATATTGCGTCATAGGTTAGTATGTTATCTAAGAAATTCGGACACAAGTTTACTCTAGTCAGTGTTTCCTCTAACCTCGAAGTCTTACAATTTTTTTCTTTTAATTCCTTTGACCCTGCAGAGTTATTCTATAATATAGAATAAAGATACACCAAGTCTTTTTTTTTTACACTTGATAAGTCTTCTGAAATCACATTTAGAAATTCATTAACCATTAAGACTAATTCAATAATGGGTTGCTCAACACTACTGACTCAATTTATAAATAAATGCAACCCATGCTCTTTACTTTCTCATATATAGAATTTTTAGTGGCGAGATAGCTTTGCCTATAGCATACCAAGTGAATTCTTTATATTCAACGCTAGGACCAATCTAAATAGAGGAATCTAAAAAAAATCCCATGGCAATATAGCATAAGGGAACATGACACCGTCTAATTGAATCTCAAGGCAACCTCAAACTCAACTATGCTAAGTGTATCTCGACTTTGAACTGTGTCTAGACATGTTTGATAGATTGGTCAAAGAATAGTAAACTCCCTGACTTGGGTTGAAACCACAGATGGTACGTCTAAGTACTCAAATCTTCTCCCTATCCTCATATATTGTATCATCTTGTAACCTATTGCTCATCTTCTTAAAGTATATATATTATCGAACACAACATATGTTAATAATATCGTTCAACTGATTATTTTTCAAGTAAAAGTCATATTTTCATTTTGTAAGTTATCACCTAAACTAGTACGGAGAGCGAGAGTAATAGAAGCGCACAAATGTACTAAGTTTGTTTTATATCCCAAATAATGAAAAATAATACTGTAACAATAGAATTTAATAGGATGTCATTTTCACTTTGATTATGATCACCTTTTATGTATTTAACTCATGTTCCAAGAATATTAAGGTGAGGCGCTGAATTCCACGAATGAGTCCAACTTGTCCCATAGATATACACTATACCATCTCTATAAATGGACACCCTGAGGAATACACATGTGTTCATCAATAAAATTGCATTATTATTCATATTATAACTACTAACCATAGCATTGTCACCCTTTTTTTTTAATTTAACCAAACATCCACATTTGATTTTACATAACTATTATTACAAAAAAATTCTTATTCAAGCTAAAAGCTAAATTTGAACCACACCAATCATACCTCAAACTTCTTTTATGGTTCATCTATTCTTATCATAGTATATGGCAATCTCAGTACTATACATCTTATTCTTACTTTAATAGTTAATCATGATCATGTGCACTGAGGTCTATATTCAACCTCTTACTATGTTGGTGCATTAAATCTCATACTTGAACCTTATTCTCTCTTTAGCTAAAATTTATCCACGGACACCCACAATGATCACGTTATGTATCATGTACTACCACTTTCATGTTCATATTCAATGCATTTGAATTATGTACCGTCATGTCTCAATCACTCTTATAATTTTACCATCATGATATTACTAATAGTACGGAATTACTTCAAGACGAATTAAGATGAGAACTCTATAAACACTTTTCTCAAAGTATCTTCACCATTAGGCCCAACAATCTAAATATGACTAAGTTATTATACTTCTTACTTTCTGGCATAACTTTTTTTTTCTTTCCTAATCGGATTTATAACCTCGAATGTTGAATGAGTCTAACCTAAGCAAAGTTCCTATCCTTAGTCCAGACCACTTCACTGTCCACGTGGATTCTCAATGTTTAAAAGTTTGACTAACTCTTAAAATTCCTATATAATATTTTTTGTAGAGGTTCCTTTGAAAATAGATTTATCCCAAAATTTAAAACAAGTAAAATCTCAACTATCACCAATGTGCATAATATTTTATATACTCAAGGTCACTAGCAATCGGTCATATATTGTTAGAAACTTCAAAATTAAATGTGTCTTCCAGCAGAGAAGATAGACGTGGCCTTTCCATTTGCTAAAGGGATATCCTACGAAAAAACTTGATTCAACTTAATGCACGAATGGGAATGAATGAAAGGAAAAAACTTCCTAAATGCTTAATAGCCTCAAGATCATAAGTATGGGCGCCTACATACCCATGAACAAGAATCTACTAAACATTGCTCCATGACCCTGGACTTAAAGCCTACACTCTGATACCAATTTTGTCACGTCCCAAACTACTCCCTAGACATAACTGGCACCCAGCTAACACTACCTACCAGGCGAACCCCTTTATCTAAGGTTTAACCATTTACACAAACACTGAGAGAAAAGTGCAGGCCTAAAGTATTATTAATAATTAAATAGGTAATGATTATCACCCAATACTTTAGTCAATTGATAGAAAAACCAACAGTCACTCAAATAATAAAACTCTAGTCCAAATTCCACATTAAGACCAAGGAGCATCTAATAGAGTAATATGAGTTTTATTAACGGATATGCAAACCCAAAAAAAAAAAAATAACTAATACGAACTAAGCAAGTCTGAAATGGAAGCCTCCACGAACAATGCGGTGGCTCACCTAAGTAATAGGATCCACTCCAACAAACTCGACAGCCACTAGCTCTATCTCCTGCAATGGTATCTGCATAGAGATGCAAATAAGGAGTAAGATATACGTAAATATAACCCAGTAAAATCCTCGACCCGCCACTTTAAATACCTCTAGAACAAGTGTTAGAAAATACAAACACACTATGATATAGTAAATATGATAATTATACAATAGCTCAATATACGGGTATCAACGGAGTTATTAAGAATTAACCAACAAAGATATCCACTAAAGACTTATCATAATTGTAGTGAAAGAAATTTATCAACACACCAGGAGTCCACAACGGCACCACAATGCCTTAAATATGTAATAGAGCATACACAATGCGCGGGTGATGTACAAAGGCATACACAATGCCCCACCATCATGGCGCACAGCCGTATCAAACTCAACACCATGGCGTACAGCCGTATCAAACTCAATATCATGGCACACATGCGTATAAAACTCAACATCATGGTGCACAGCTGTATCACACTCAATATCATAGCGCACAGCCGTATCAAACTCAATATCATGGCACACATGCGTATAAAACTCAACATCATGGTGCACAGCTGTATCACACTCAATATCATAGCGCACAGCCGTATCAAACTCAACATCATGGCGCACAGCCGTATCAAACTCAATATCATGACGCACAACCGTATCAAACTATAAAACTCAATCTCATGGCGCACAGCCGTATCACACTATCAAACAGCTTATAAAATAATACTTTTTTTCATAAAATAATATATTTACGGCTAGTCTAAGATCATCGTCTCTGTCAAGTGCACGCTTGTCCCAACACATGGACCTGGCAGAGAAAATATATTTTTAAAATGGGTTTTAGAAAAGCAAGTATCAAAGCTTAAAGTCTCACTTACCTGGCTAACGAGAAATTTCTCAACCTTGCGACTTCTAGAACACCGATCAAACGGCCTCCAATGACCTCAATCTATGCGAAATATTAATTAACAATGTCAATTATGCTAGTTAGAGTTATCTCATATTTATATCATACCAAATTCAATGCGTGATTCGCTAACAATTCAACTAATCCCTTAAACACTCGTGTATGTAAAACTCAACAAACTCGAAAGATTCCTGAGAATACTGGACTCCATGATTCGATAATATAGTTGTAGCTGTACATGAGCTGAATTATTCAATTATAATTAAATGAATGTGAAATGTAACTAAACTGACACTAAGCATTGATCCCCACGAATTCCCTGTGCAAATTATTTGACTCCAAAATGCAATATTACAAAGCTTTGTCCATAATATTAAGTTTTCCATTATTACTCAATCATCATGTCCCCTAAACTATATAGCGGAAGCCGAATAGTAAGGAAAATATTCTTCCATAACATAGTACACTTAAACTTATACTTATACTTATACTTAATTTAATTCCCCAATCATTACATCATCATTAACACCATCATTATATAACTAATATCTACTAATTATGGCATAACCACTAATTCATATATTTTATACCACTGACCACAATCAATTTAAAAGCCATATACCAAAATTAATACCTGGGCAAAACCAAACGTCCTTAACTTGCTTTCTTTTGTCTTCTTTTCTTAACTTTTTTCTTGATCAAAACCAGACGTCCTCTTGCGGCAATTTTTCTTTGTGTGTTTTACTCTCTTCAAGAACTAAGTAACACATACTCAACAAACAAACAAAAAAGACATGGGCCTACACTACTTCACTATTATTCATTATTCAAAATTAATTTCTGACTCACTAATATGCACCATTTATAAAATAAACCCACTAGCCACTTATAGAGACATTCTTTTTCCTATCCCTCAATATATAAATTTTAATTTAAAGAAAATATAAATAGACATCTATACACTCAGATGTAAAATAAACAATTGTTAATTCTCTAGTTGTATACACTAATAAAAAAATTAATTAAGCAATAACTCAAGTTTTTTTTTAAACAACTCAAACTCACTTATAAATATTTGTAATATTATTTTCATAAATTTCACAAAGAATTCCAACCACAATGACTCATGAACCCCCCAGTCGACGAATGAGCCAAGATTTCTGGTTATGGTGCCCATTCTCTCACCACTAATCCTACTTCTTTTACCCTTTCCTCAAACCCTTGTGGCAACTCAACTTTTCTAACCTCCCCAGTAAAGATATCTCCTCTATCGGCATCTCTCAACACCCATATAAACCTGTGTTTGCTCTGCTCTAATCCCTTTGCGAGCTCATTGATTTCCCTATCAGAAAATGAAGTTGTTGTTCCAAATGATATATAAAGAACTGATCTTGGAGGCTGCTTGTTAAGCCACTCCAAACATATATTGTTCGTATTCGATATATGATCAAGTTTAGCAGGCAGAAGCGGTCCAATTGCCCATTGTTTCTTGTTCTGTGTACTTGTTACTTCTACCAACAAATCAAGAATCTTGCCTTCGATTACTCTGCTCGTATTATGAATATCACCTGACCTAATATCCATATACAGACTCTAAGAAGCTCCGCGTTCCCTGATTTCATCTGTCATAATTCCTTCAAGGGAAGGTAAATTTTTAAGCAATTCTTCTTCAAGTTGTATGGACATACCATAAGATAAGCATATCAAATAGTACAAAGTGAAAACTAAAATGTAATTAAATATATAGGATTCTACATTGGACAAGGTTGAAACATCCTGAACATTATAAGACATTAAAGAATCATATGTATAACAATAACTCGTCTTGCTTTAGATGAAATATCGTGAAAGAATGAAGCAATAGGCTCGTGCATAAGCATACAAGCAGCCCATGATGGCTCAAGATGCACGGGGAATTTGTTTAAGGAATTAAAATCAGGTGGAGGTGAGGCAAATTCAGGAGTTGGGAGATCGTGGAATCGGATATTAGCTATGTCTGAAGGATTTAAGGCATTGGCGCGAACCCTGGTTTGACGATTATGTGTCGTTGAGCCAACATAGTATACTGGAAGATTATATGATGAGGAGATTAAACAAGCAAGTTGGAGAAGTTGATTGAGATGTCCTTGACCTGGAAATGGAACCATAACTATAGCTACTTCATCTTGTTTCAACTTGCTGCTATCCATGAAAGAAATTAGAAGGTTTTTAGTATTCAAACTTTTTCGTGTTTTTTCAAGGTATTGACTTTGAAATATATGAGAATGGAACAAAGGTAAACAGAACTAGAAACTTTGATTACTTTACCATAAAAGTTGTTGTCAAAAGTGTTAATAAATATAAATTTCCTTTTCATTTCAACCAGCCATGATTAATATATACGTACAAATAAAATGTGTGACAAGTACTTCTCCATTTTAACCAGAGGTTTAGGGTTCGAACCCTGGGTATGAAGTCGTCTTTAGTAGGAGCGTTTTACCACCTCAAAGCAGGACTTTCTGGAGCAAATTTGAATTATTCGAGGGGCCTTCAAAGTGGGATTTTCTAGCACAAATCCGGATTAATCGGGCCCTAAAGTGAGTACAGGACACTGGGCTTGGAAATCAAACAAATAGCAAATTCAAACCTTTGAAAATTTGTGGTCTACCATTAAAAAAAACACAATGGGAGAAATTAACAAATACATGTCTTAATCCATCTCTATCACCTGTCTATTTTTCCCTACCCCATTCCCTCCTAGTGATGGACTAATTACTTATTTATTTTGAATTCAACTGTTACATGTCTTACTTATTTAAATTGAATAATTTTATTTTATTTCCAGGTTGATTCAGATTATTGCTTTTGACTTGAATCAACCAAATAAAATGATTTGAATCAGCCCGTTGCTCGAATTCATGAAGATTACGTGGACATTAACACATAAAAAATTGAAAATAGTCAAGAATTCCGATAATGTTAGTTAGGCAATTTTAGGGAGCTTTGATGAGGTCATGAGTTGAATCACTACATGGTCTCTTGTTTTTTCCTTTTTCTATTTTTTACAAAAAAAAATGAGGAATACTTGATCTAAGAGAATAATACTATTTTTAATTTTTTTTTTCTTTTTATATTATGACTGGTAAATATATAAGGAGTCAGCATATTATCAGTTTTGGCCTAACCTTCTGGGTGTTGGTGTTTTTGTCTCCTTGGGTTTTAACTCCAAAGGCGACTCAATAATTAAATCTTGAACTCGCTTATATAACCCTTAACTTTCTCTTTCTATTATGATGCGAGATCTGAGCGATATTAGATTTACCTCTTAAAAATTCACTGCCGTATTAAATATCTTTTTTTAAAAAAAAAAAAACTGTTGATGTATAAAAGTTAAACTCATCTTGAAATTATTCATATGGAGTAAAAAATTAAGTTGTCGAAGCTTATATACCAATTATGAAAAATTTACTATATTTGTCGAAATGTACTTCCTATTCTATCACGACCCCGGTTCGCCCTCCGTGAACCATCATGACGGCACCTAGTCCCTACGACAAGGTAAGCCTATTAATGTGGAAAATAAACCAATTTGCGGAAGAAAAACAAATAAAACCCAAATAGTGGATAAAACAGTGTTTAATAGTGTCGCTCAGCATACACAACATCAACTCTCAAAAACTAATACTTTTTCCAAAACCCGGAATATCATGAAATCACAAGCTAAGGATACTACATAGTGTTCTAACTCCAGAATGTCTAAAATAAAGTAAATACATAAGGGTTGTAACTACAAGAGAGAATGGAGAGAGACTCCTCGGTCTGCAGACGCAGCAGATATACCTCGAAGTCTCCGAAGGATCGCCTCGCCTCAAGGATGGTAAGTCTGAGTAGAGATACCTGGATCTGCACATGAAAAATATGTATAGAAAGGGACATGAGTACACCACAGCGGTACTTAGTAAGTGCCAAGCCTAACCTCGGTCGGGTAGTGACGAGAAAGGTCAGGGCCCTACTAAGATTAAGTAAATATAGAGATGACCGAATGAGATAAGCAGTACAATTGAAAACTGACAGTAAGAATTTAATACATGATAATAAGGAATACAATAACTGGAACAGAGATAAAGACAATCACAAGGAAACACCACTCTTCACAAGGATAATAACCGGGGATCTCTCACTATCCTCAATATATATGTCAGGTCTCTCTTGGTATCCCGAGGATCTCTTGGTATCTTCAATGTATGTTAGGTATCTCTTGGTATCCCGTGGATCTCTTGGTATCCTCAATATATGCTAGGGATCTCTTGGTATCCCGAGAATCTCTTGGTATCCTCAATATACGTGCCAGGGATCTTTGGGTATCCCGCACCTCAGCTCAAATCATAAACGCGTACAGGGGATCTCCCGGGATGCCGTCTCGTAGTCCCAAAGTAAAACATACAGCAGCAACACAAAGAATACTCAACTAAGCTCAATTTCATACCCAGTAAAACAGGTAATTCTAACCTAACATACTTCACATAATACAATTAAGGCAGGTTAAGCAAATAAGTAATTAAGTCAATTAAACATGCTTTTTCTAAGCTAACAGCAGGCAAATATTTGCAAGTAGTATAAAACAGGAAAAAGGAACACAATTGAAATTACTTTAAAAAATCGGATTTTCAACAATTAGCTCAAGTACACACTCGTCACCTCATGTACAAGGTATTCCAATTATCAAATATATCAAATCCTAAGGGGAAGGCCCCCCACACAAAATTAGGCCACTTGCCTCGAACCAGCTCAAATCAATCAGAAACCACGCTCTTGCCACGAGTACTCGACTCCAAATGATCCAAATTTATTCAATTCAATTGAATAGTGTAAATAACACTTCAAGTAACTGATTCTACAAAGAACTTCTAAGCTAATACGCGAAATTAGGTAAAATAACCAAAACGCCCTTCGGGCCCACGTCTCGAAATCGGGTATAATTTACATTTCCATAATCCTCACACTCTCACGAGTTCAGTCATACCAAAAGTACCAAAATCGGACCTCAAATGGTCCCTCAAATCATCACTCAAAAGTCTCTAATTAGTCAAGCCCTAACCCCCAAATTACCACTGATTTCCCTTAATTTTTCATGCTTATAATGATAAAAATCACTCCAATAACGAGTTTAGGTTCCAATAATCTTACCTCCTCGAAGTTCCCTTGAATTCCCTCTCAAAGACCTGCCCAAAAGCTCACTTCCCGGATGAAAATAGTGAAAGAATAACTCAAATTCGCGAAGGCAACTATTTATATGTTCTGCCCAACAATTCCGCATCTGCGGTCCAACAATCGCATTCACGATACTACTTCTGTGGTTGGGGAACCGCTTCTGCGGTTCTCACTTAAAACCTCTCTGCCGCACCTGCGACCTAGAATCTGCATTTGCGGTACTTATGTCGTTTCTGTGGTTCCTAACCCCTTCCTCATCTGTCGCTTCTGCGGCTGGATTTCGCATCTGCGGGAATCGCACTTGTGGCCTCTCAACCACAGATGCGGTTATGACATCAGTTATAGCTTCAACTGCAACTCCAAACTCCAAATCCTTCCGCCAACCATCCGAAAGCATCCCGAGGCCCCCGGGACCTCAACCAAAAGCACAAACAAGTCTAATAACACTGTCCAAACTTATACCAATCCTAAAAATACCTAAAACAACATCGAAACAACGAATCAACCGTAGATTCAAGCCTAAAAACTCCAAAACTCTAAATATACGCTTTCGATCAAAAAGTCTATCAAATCTCGTCCGAATGACCTAAAATTTTGCACACATGTTACATTCAACACTACAGAGATATTCCAACTTTCGGAATTCCATTCTGACCCTTGGATCAAAATCTCACTATCGAACCGGAAACTTCAAAATTCAACTTTCGGCATTTCAAGCCTAACTTAGCTACGGACCTTCAAAACACAATCTGAACACACCCTTAAGCCTGAAATCACCCATCGGAGCTAACGGAACCATTGGATTTCCATTCCGAGGTCGTCTTCACACTGTTCCGACTACGGTCAAATTTCCAACACTTAAGCTATCATTTAGGGACTAAGTGTCCTAAAACTCTCCGAAACTCAAAATCGAACATCCCGACAAATCAAAATAGCAGAAATAAACACTAGAAAAGCAGTTAATAGGGGATTAGGGCGTTAATTCTTAAGACGACCGGCCGGGTCGTCACATCCTCCTACACTTAAACATCCGTTCGTCCTCGAACGAGCATAGAGACATACCTGAAGTAGTGAAAAGATGAGGGTAATGGCTGCGCATATCCTGCTCGGTCTCCCAGGTTTCCTCCTCGATTGGCTTACCTCGCCACTGAACCTTTACTGATGCAATGTTCTTTGACCTCAGCTTTCTAACCTGCCTATCCAATATTGCCACTGGCTCCTCAACATAGGATAGATCCTTGTCCAACTGGACTGAACTGAAATTCAACACCTGTGACGGATCACCGTGATACCTCCGGAGCATCGAAATATGAAATACTGGGTAAACTCCTACCAAGCAGGGAGGTAGGGCAACCTCATAATCAACCTCCCCAACACGCCGTAATATCTCAAAAGGGCCAATAAACGCTCTTATATAACCCTTAACTATATCTTTCTACGTCCGCCTCTACCAATAGTGTTATCTCAAATCCTGATACATCTTCGCGGCACCCAGATGAATGGAATACTGCGAACTATGGGCCTCCTCTAGAATCAACTCCCGAA